TTTTACATTTATCGAATGAAGACCACAGATTGAGCTCAACTAAAGATCAATAGCTCTTAATAAATTTAGCGAGTAGCCCGTTTCAAGCTGCTATTGGACTGTGGAAGAGTATCACACAGTCGGTTGCACCCAATTAGAGCTTTCGTATTTGCTTTTATTACGCTTCATTAACCATAAATACATTTTACTGTTTATACATTTTTGTTTTCTTTTGTTGTGCATTGTCGCTGCTGTCATGCCTACAACGAGCCAGCGGGCCAGAGGCAAATTGAAAGCGCAAAACTTCTTTAATTTTTGCTGAACGCAGTCGCGGCCCAGAAGAAGAAACTAAAAATGTTTGGCCTACGGCAATAAATGTCAAACAAAGTTTCAGCGTATTTTTTTTTTTAAATTAGAAAAATGCTCTCGAAAACAAAAAGAAGTATGCATAATGCACGTACACCGAAGTAGAGAATAGTGGAGCGACAGGCGCGCTAAATCAACTGGAAAAATAAATGGGAAATGGGAAAAAGCGTTGAGGTAGCAAACTGACAAGGCAGCGCACAGTGTGACAGGCGAGTGATGCAAGGATGCAGGGATATGCCGGCACTCAGCAAGTAGCTGCAGCAAAGGAACGCATGACTTTTGGACGGATATGCGGGCATTTCAATAATAAAACCCTTATGCGGAACTGAGTCGCCAGGCTTGTTTGCTTGGCAAGTGACTCGGATCTGGACTCTTCGATTGATGAAAGCAATCAGGCACAAACACAGGGGCAAACACAAATAGAAGCTACGCAACACACGCACAATAAGCGATGCTCCTGCCGCTGCTGCTGCTGCTGATGCTGGTTCTGCTGCTGCACGTTGGCAAACTTCCGTTTCCGCTTTTAGTTTTCATGTCCGCTGCTCGTGGCAAGCAGGCGGCAGGCAACTGTAGGCCGCAGGCGTTAACTTGATATTTACTTTGTTGCTCCAGCGCGCTGTTTACCAATATATATATATACATATATATATATATATATACGTATATATCTTTATGCCGCACTATGCCCAATATCGAACCGGAAAACGCTGGCCAATGGCCACCCGAAAGTTTTTCTCAGCACACTTCCGCCTCGCGTCTATCAAAACTTGTGGCTCATCTCCGCAGTCGACGCTTGACCGTCTACTCCAAATGTTTTCGTTGATGAAAAAACTTTGCCTGCCTTCAACACTTCTCAACTTTTGTGTTAGTTTTTCTGGTCGTAGACATTTTGCCACCATTTAACCAACCATCTACATATTTCAGTCCAGCGTTCGGGCCATGGCTCATTTTGGCATTGGGTGTTAATTGTTTTCGTTTGCATCGCAACACACACATATCGAAAAACGGGCATTAATGGACAGCATTGACTAGTCTGTCGAACAGCACTCATACGCCCCATGCGCCGCGTGGCGCCACCAATATACTGAAGATGAACTTCCTTTGCCAGGGCGGCCTGAAGCTAGCAGCCAGCAGTGTGCTCTAAACCAACTTTGCTTTTGTGCGACGCGCAAATGGACTTAATCACTTCTAGGAAACCAGACTAAGAATACCCTAACACACACACACAGACAGACAGAGAGAGAGAGAGAGAGGGAGAGAGAGTCTGAGCTGGAGCCAGTTGCATATTTGTTTGTGTGGACTTTAGATACTCCCAACTATGCGCAGAGAAATTGAGAGAGACACTAATTGCTTTTCTTTCCAACCAACTCTTTTTCTTTTCTAATTACTTTATGCATGTCTATTAGTATGTGTGTGCGTGTGTTGTGTGTGTTAGCCAGACTGCTGGCGACTGGCGACACACATTTGGCTAAGTAGGAAAATGATAGTTTGAATGCTCTTCAGACATCGTTTGTCGACAAAAGGAACAGCACGATAAGGACGAGCAAAAGGACGCATTTAAAGCACATAATTCGGTTTTGATTATGTTTTGGTCTTAGATGCCGCTCCCCAATTTGCGAGACTCCTCTGTTGCCATGGCCAAAGCATTCCGAAAGTTAACAACTTCATTATGGCTAAAACCCAAATGTGTTGATATTGCGGCTGAAGTGGCCGCCGTTCCCCCTAAATGAGTGGCTTTCAATGGCTTTCGCATTTCATATATGTACCCACAAATGGGAGCACTTGCTGATTATTTGCGGCTTAAGCCATATTTACTGAGAGATACAGCCAAACGATTCGAAAGCCTTATAGATTAATGCAAGCTGGTTGCTTTTGAAATGTTGCCCAGACTTGGGTTTAATTTCAGTTTTTCAATTTTATTTTTTTATTTATTTATCCATGAAGTCAATATAATACTTTTACCTGAAGATACAAAAACTAGGAAATATTTTTACAGAAAGTTCCGTTTCGAACGAATCTACGTGGCTTAGATGATTGAGCGTCGGATACATGGGAGGATGCCGGACACATTGGATGCCGCCGATTCAAGTCATACTGCAAATTTAAATTTGTTATTAAGTAAATTTAGAAAAACAAAATAGTCAAAAAAAATATTTAGAAATGCAAAGAAATCAGCTAATGCGGCAATTTGAGCATCTTCAGAATGTCTCAAGTTGGTGCGAATTGCACAAATAATTTTGATCAACATTTACCATTCGAGCCGAGCGACGCTGAGCTATTTATCCTTGTAGTGAATATAATGCAGCTCTTCAGTATGCTGTTTTATAGCTTCTCTTCAGTTTTATTTTTCTTTTGGCATATTCTGCTTTTTCCTATCAGTTCTGTATGGGTTTTCATGCAATTCTTCTTATTAATTGAACTGCTTCGTGCTTTTTTCAGGTTTCGTTCATTTTTCTGTGTCTTAATACTATTTTATAAATGTATACACATTGATGAGACTTTCCACATTGCATTAACTCTTAAAGTTTACTTTATATATGTTGATAAGATAATACATTGAATGCCTCTCCGTTTGCTTACTTTAATAAAAAGTAGTTTTCTCGGTCTTAAAATTAATCATGTACCTAGCGCGAACATAAAAACAATCAATGAGAACAAGAGTTTTATTAAAGTATAACTTATAGCAAATATCTCGGTAAAACTCACCTAATTAGCTTCTTCACTTGTATAAGTTGTTCACTGTCGTTAGAGTATACAAATTTCGGTACTTTGGGATTGGCTATAATTTTGCTTCTGAGAAACACGAGCATTGAAATTAATCCGAGCTGGTTCTTATCACCTGAGACCTGAGCTCCTAGAGGCTGGCACATAATTTAAGCTGTTTATGCACAGGTTTTGCTATAAATTATGTACTAAAAGCCCAGCCAACAATTCAGCACATCGTTTTGGACACACTCAAACAAGACTTAGGACCCAAACCCGAACCCAAACCCAAGCGGAAGTGCGTAGAAGTCGCTCAGAAAAACAGTACACAAAATAAACCAAAAAAACGAAAACTCAAAAAAACACCCAGCTAAAGTCGACAGTGCTGGAATGGGAAATACCCTGTGATGCTTCCAAGTTTATTATTATTTTATATTTTTCTTTTTTTTACCAGATGAGATTTATTTGGGAGAGCAGGAAGAGGTGTCTAAAGATGTACTTCATAATTTTGGTGTCCCAGTCTTGAATAAGATAGAAACGAAGAAATCGATATCGATTTTGATCGATTCCGTGGAGAGAGGAAAAGTTATCGTTAACTTAAAATAAATATGATCTTTTTCTAAAATAGAAGGATCTACGGAGTTCAATCTACTCCGCTCTTGATGCTGATCCAGAAAATAAATATACTTTCTGGAAAACGCTTTATTTTGCCTGTGACATAAATTTGCTCATAACCATTCTATCCCCTTTTCCCATTTTAATTGGGTGCAGGGTATATAAAAAAAGGGTTAGGCGCACGAGCTGCCGCAAATTCGGCAAAAATTTAACTTTGGCTAAAGTTGTGCATGTTGAGGGCTTGAGGCGGCTGGTAGCTGTGCCCGAGATGTGTCCCCAAGTTGACGCTGTGACGCTCGGGGAACACCGCTGTCACCCAGGGAGACGGCTGGCTGGGCGGAGGGCGTGGCTTGGCGTAAAGGGTATGCGGTAATAATCAGCGGCAAGCGAGACTTTAAATATTTTATGCTGCTCAAATTGGCGGCCAAAAGAAAACCGAAAAATACAACAAAGAAATTGCGCAGGCTGGGAGCGGTGGGGGGTTGGTTGATGGCTGCGGTTGTCACGGCTGCCAACGGGAAACTCAGGACTCACCCACGCCCAGGAGCTGCGCGAGGACAACAGCAGTGACCAGGCGGGTTCTGGCTGGCTCTGGCCGGGTCTGGCTGTCTAGCTGGTCCGGCTGGCTGTCTGGCAACTTGAGCCACTTTGATTTTTGCTCAAGCGTAATTACAAGTTAAATGAGGCCAGCAGCGCGGCCAACGTTGGCAACGTTCTGGATGCGAAGACTGGATAGCTGCGGCCGCCAAAAACAGTGTCATCATGCGGAAGGATACTGGGCTGTGGCTGCGTCTGCAACTGGCAATGAAACGGAAGGAAGGCACGCCAAACGGACGGATGGACGGGCGGACGGACGGACGGAGGCAAAGCGTGCGCCTGGATGATGTACAGGCGGCGATTGCAGCCGCTGCGAGCAGGACTTGGTGTACACTGTGTACCCACAAGGACAAGGGGCCTCTATCTCTCTCTCTCTCTTTCTGGTAATGAATGAGCTGGCCCTATGGCGAGTCTTTGCTTGGCCCGACTCTGGCCTGTCTGGACCGAGGCTGGCTAAAAATGAAAAATTGCGATGTGGACGTGAAACGTCGTGGTCGCGGTCTCAAGCTTGTTTGGGCTTGGCAGCGAGGCCGCGTTGCAACATTGTTTGTTCTGCGCCGCTCCGCTTTGCTTCGATGTGGCAAGCAGCAAGCGGCGGACGGAGGGCGGCAAGTGGCGCGTGGAACGCTGCAGATTGCATAAAAAGCGACAGAATGTAAAACAAAACATGAAATAACGAAGCACACAACAAAAAAACAAAAAAAAAATTGCTAAAACAAACCGCATTAGTGAGCAGCGGGTCGGGGGTGGGGGCGTGACAGCGCAATGGGTGGTGGATTGACGGAACGCAACAATGATGACAAGCAAAGCGCGGGAAGCGCAGCGCTGAAAACATTGTCAGCAGACGTTCAACAGCCTCGAACTCCTCCCCGATATGGACGCCCCTCGGCTGCGCAGGAAGCTGCAGCAGCTGCTGCTGCTGTTTGCTCAAGTCAAAGCACTGCAGCAGCTCGACTCTCGGCTCATCAGTGGGAAAGTTCATTTTGCAGTAATTAACAAATTGTAAAACGCACGCGGGACAGCTGGACAACTGAAAGGCAAAAGTCCGACAAACTGTCAGCTCAGCTCAGATCTGTTCAGTTCAGCTCAGCTCAGCTCTGCCGGATGGCCAGTACAGTTGTGCCCAAGTTTGTTTGAGCGCAAGGAATTATAGATGCCTGATGCCTGATGTCCTGCCGCTGATGCCTGTTGTCCTGCGCTGGCCCAGTCCAAGTTTCAAGCTGCCTTTAGCTTGATGATAGTCACTTTGCAAAAGTTCTCTTGATTATTAATATTTTATTCCATTACACTTTGGATGAAATTCAGAGCTTGACAATTGTCAGCGGCACTTGTTGGCTAAAGAAAAAACAGAAATATAACAGAAACTGTCAAACAAATTGGAACTGATGATTGAAGTTTAGAAAGTATTACAAGCGGGCCAATGCAAATAATGATTATCCTACGATTCTCAATAATAACCAAATGAATGCACTTAAGGAAATCAAAATGTTGTCCTGGCTTAAAAGATTTGTATATTCGAAGAACTATTGAGAAACGCAACAGAACACTACTAGAGGAAAAAGGTTATATTCCCTTCAGTATTATTAATATGATTATTGTTATTATGTTTATTATTATTATAATTATTATTACTATAATCATGATTATTATTATTATTATTATTATTATTATTATTATTATTATTTTTTAATGTTATTATTATTATTATTATTATTATTATTATTATTATTATAATTATTATTTTAATTATTATTATTATTATTTTTATCATTATTTTTATTATTATTACTATTAGTATTATTATTGCTGTTAATATTAATATTATTATTAAATTAAATTAAATTATCCTAGCTAATAGCAGTGAATTCTACCCTAGACTTTCGCTTAATAAAGTCGGGGACTCGAACCTTCAACTTTACTGTTCAATTGCATGACAACTCATTTAGCTTAGATGATATTTATACCAATTTATTTAATATTTTTACTGGTATTCTTTAGTAAACACCACAATTATTAACCTTACTTATACCTCATACCCAAAGTTGGGGACTTGAACCTCGGACTCAGTTGTTCAATTCCTTAAATAACTGTGTTACATAAACAATTCATTTATCTTAAATGTCTCTAATTTTTAGTTACTTAAATATTTATTCCTTAATAGTCGTTACACAATCAGTATAACTAAGCCCGGATCGGGGATTCGAACCTCCAAGTTCGGATAACATGGATAGCTCACTTACCCTGTACGGCATTAAATCATATTTAAATTAAGTAACTAATTCAAACAAGCCCAACCAAAAGATACCATCAAACCTGCTGTCTTAGTCATAAAAGAGTGGGAAAATAAATTTAATTATTTGATGAAATATTCTGATGCACTTCCGGCTGAGTGCCCATTTGGAATGTTTGTCTAATGGCTTCTCTATGCTTAGCATTTTTCGCCAACCTAAGCCCTGCACAGTCTCTCAATCACACACACACACTCTCGCAGCCATTGTCAACTTAGTGAGGCTCATGTCAAAGTGTCAACTACTTTTTGCCACCTCAAGGCTCACATAATTAAGCGACAAGCTGCAAGTGCGAAGCTGAAGCCAAATGCCAAAAAGTATCATGCAAAAGAAGAGCCAAACGAAACTCTAAATGACAGCCTCCCACACACACAGACACGCACACATGGCGGCACACATGTGCAGCGTACAACATGTGACATCCGCTGCGACAATGCCGCAAAAGCCATGTCAACAAAAGCTGCAGCGGCAGCAACAAAAGTGGCAACACTTCCCTCACAGAAGATGCCCCAGCTCGGATTCCGCTAGATGGCAGTCAAAATTGGCGCTCGCTCGCATTTGATGGACGCCAGTTTTGGGGCTGTTGTCTAAGGACTTAAGGGCGTTTCGAGAATTGGGGACACGTAGTTAGCAGCATTCGCGTTTCCACGACGCCATCGAGTTAACTGTGAACAGGAGCAGCAGCAGGAGCCTGGCCCAAGTCGCAGTCAGATATGGAGCTGGCCTCAGCCTGCAACCGGGCCTGACACTGACATCCAGAGCTGAGCATTATGGCTTTAATTTTGAGTGGTTGTCATTTTGGCTATGTGCCTAAATTCCAGACCTAATACCGCACTCTGCTGCACGCACACTCTCACACGCACACACTCGCACAACAAACAACAAGAATTTGCTTACAATAAGGTGTCGGGGAATATCATAACAAAAGCCACAAGCCACAAAAATGTAACTGACACCGAATACCCTGACCCCAGACTCTAGATGCCTTGTGGTCAAGTCTAAGTGTCATTTGCATTGTGTCATTAACTCGGCACAATGTAAAGTGAATTTAAAGTCAACATTTTATCAGCACATTTTGTGTGACAATTTATAGGCTCAATAGGAACGATTTGAGGTAGGGCTGTATATGTGGAGAGTTTAAGTCTAACTACACTTAATCTTACAAAGATATTTGAAAATGATTTTAAAGCTGACCCAATAATTATCAAAATATTTAACTTAACTGTTTATCTCCTTTTTTCCACAGTTACAGGTTGAATTTTCAAAATCTCAGAAACTCTTCTTCATTTAGTTGTAATGTAGACATTTGTTTGACGCCAATCAAAACAAATTCAAAACTTTGACTCCCATTTTTCACACAGAATGGGTGGATTTTGTGAAAAGTGTGAAACATTCGTGGAAATGAATTTAAGGCCGAACGGATGGTAAATATGGATTCATAGAACTTTTCTACTAGGTATTTATCGGTGTCTGAGCTGCTCAACTAAACAGTGCGAAGCCGAGCTTGAACCCTGGGCTGATGTAGTATTCGCTACACCTAGGGCCACAGTTGTTAATGCTATTAAGTAAAATAATAACAAATGTACCAAATTCCAGCACAGTGGTTTAAGCAGCTTAAAAATGTTGTAGCATAATTTCTCTGTGCAACAGCGGCAACATTCAAGCAGCACATCAATTTGCATGGCTCGTCAGTTCGGTTGCAAAATCTTCACGCATTTTGCATTTTAGTTGCTTTGCCGCGCTGCATAAATTACACGAAGCATTACGTAGTGCCACCCCCGTCGCCAGGGCATCCTCCAACTCCGACTGCATCTCAATGCACAATTTTATTGTTTCATTGTGCCATTTGCATGTATGAGAAGCTGTGGGTGGGCGCGGGCACGCCGTTCATCCGCCATATTTGCAGCAGCTGCAAAATTCTAAACGCAAAACAGATTTTTGATAAAAAAAAAAAACGAGCAGGGATTGGCGCAGGGATGCTCGAAGGGAGGCAGATCAGGGTGCTGCAGAATCGCAGAATTTTTCTGCTTCAATCGAGAAATGTGTCGTAAATTTGTGATTTGATTAAAATGCGTGCCCGGCAATTACAGCCATAGCTTCAAGTGGGGTGTGGGGTGTGGAATGGGAGTGGAAGGAAGAGGCTGCCAATTGGAGCATGAAATATGAATCGATGGCATTTGATTTGTAGTCAAGCAAACTTAATTGCTACGATTTTCGTCCTCTATGAAGAAAAAGGGTCCTTTAAGATACATACCGAATATACTATTATTATTATTTTAAATATTATATTATGCTAATATTATTATCATTATTATTATTATGTTTATTATTAATGTTTATTTTGTGTTATTATTAATATTATCTTTATCATTATCATTATTACTGTTGTGGGCAGTACATATTGCAGAACAGGCCGGACCGAACGACTATATCATATAGCTGTCGTAGGACTGATCGGTCTAACCGGACCGAAAGACTATATCATATAGCTGTCGTAGGATTGATCGGTCTAAAACTAAGTTCTTGTTTTACCAAACCTGGCAACCTCGAGCTCTAAAATGCTCCCGACACATGATTAAAATATTATTAAATGCGGATCGCTTTTTCGAGATATATTTGCCGAACGCAGCAATATTCCCCGCATGTATGCTTGGTCGTAAGCCAAGGCTATAAGTGTATTTAATCTTCGGCTCGACAAAGCTAGCCGTTCTTTTGTGTTTTTATTTTAATAGCACAGGCTACTTCGCTAACAAATAACTAGATAAGTATTCGAATACAGATCCTCTTTGTTCAATTCTATAGAATACGTTTTCGATCATTGCCCATAAATCAAGGCAAGGTAAGTTTTTCAATAATGTGGGCGCAACGTTGTCGCATGCGGTCGAGAGTTCATTTGCAGTCAACTGGAATTTTGGGGGCAACGTTTTGAGGGCCGATAACACATTTGGCACTGCCCACTTGGCACGGCATCAAATGCGCCAACGAAGTCGGCTAAAAGCAGTTAATCGACAAATAAAATACGTACAAAAAGATGGCCGAATGGCAAATAGAAAATAGAAAATAGGCGAAACTCGCCAAGTAAATGCAGCAGAAAATCAAATGATTTCAAGCTTTTCGCATTTCCCTCTTTCTTTCCCCGTTGCATTGGCAACTGATTTGCACTTGCTTATCGGGGCGTCATGTGAAAATATAGGCCCCTGGCCACGCCCACTGCTGTTGCTGTGCGTCCAGCCGACTGCAATGGCAGCGATAAAGATTGACGGCGTTGTAAATTATCTGATTTTGTCACTACGGAAATTGGCAAAATATCCCCAAGGAGGGGCCCAACCATAATTTACTTAGCCCGGATTTTTAGGCAAAATTTGAACTTGTCAGTCGGGTATACTTTCAAAGGCAGGCCAAAAAGTAATTGGCCACCCAAAAACGTTTATTATTGGAAAAAATTTCATTTCCTTTTGTCTATATAGTCTCTTTGAGCAATACACGCGTTCTCCTATTCACAATATAATATGACAAGCTCCTCAAAATACGTTATGTGGGGAACCAACTCGTAGCGTAGGTCAATTAATATATTATTATTTTATTTTATATAATAATACTGCTTTGAAACGGTTATACAATCGAGTTTTTTTTTTGCTGTGACCATTCATCTCGCATTCAGCTTCCATGAATGCAAATATTGTCGAAAACAAAAAACATATGACACACATGTCGTGTGGGAGATGTATTCTTGATAAACTGGCTGTTTAAAATCCTGTGCTTAAATATGGCTAGAATATGTGTGTATATAACTAAGCGTACAAAGCGACCGCTCCTTTCAAAATGATTTTTTGCGTGGGGAATACGTGCAAGGTAGCCAAAAGTGAAGTATTCCTAATCTTTATATACAATACAAGAGCCTACGTTTAGTAGATATAGATTCTATGTTGTTCGCATTCTACTTCAAAAAGCAGGTCTCAAAATCGATAGTTATAAATATTAAGAAAATGGGAGAAGATAGCAAACGATAACCTCTTTCAGCTATGGCATATGAAGATATTAATTTAAAGTATCTAGTCGCCAACTTTTACAGACTCTGAGACTAGAGGCTAAATGGATTACGGGCTCCTACAACCGGTTGAATACATTTGCACAAAACCATTTTACCCACTTTACTTCTTTTCAATTGGTGCGAAGTATAAAGGTACACGATCTATAACCTAGTTGCTAACATTGCTTCTTGTCCAGGCCGATTTATTTTCAGCAGGCCCTCGTTATTTGGAGACAATCTTTAA